CTTGGTCTCAATGCGAAAGAGAAACAGTGAGCTAAAAAGATAGAGAATTGACTATCATTAGAACCAAAATAAGAAAAAACTAGTTGCGTCGCGTCCTTTTTGCAGGCGGCTCAACTCCCTCTCTATTCTTCAATCTATCAATTAAGCACAAATAGTTTTTATTTGTCTTCTTACCGGAAACAATTCTGTTGGATCTATCCAACCAGAATACATTATTAATTTTCCAATTTGGGCTCCAAACCTTTCCAAAATATTGGTCTGAATGGGTGACATAAAACCAATTTTGAATGCAATTCTCACGCTTTTTTCAATCAGTCTTCGTTTAGAGAAAGGTTCGACACATAATTTGGGTCAGGCTAATGCAAGAATTTATTGGTAAGACCTACCTTGATAACCGCCAAAGAGTAGATTGTGACAAAAATGTCAGCAAAGACTTCTGCTCCAGCTTCCTAATCATACCAGGTTGGTCATCAAATTTAATTAACTAGGGAATAAGTTGAATGCTAGGCAGTGTGGGAGGAAGCTAGGTGGGAAGTGCTCAAGCTTAGTTGTTAGAATTAAGGGGGAAGAAGGCATCCTCTATCTAAACAAGAAAGAGACTTTATTGGTCATCTGAGCATGGTTCTAACGTTTTTTAATTTACTTCCACATCACCTTAAACAGATGTAGAACAGTGATTATACAATAGTAGCTAATGCTCTTATAAGTATGGAAAAATTGCAACCACCAGAAATCCATTTCTTTATGCTCAAGATCTAATGACAATACCAAAATATATGGAATAGGAATATAAGAAGCATAGTTGACTGTAATAACAAATATAGGTTTGCATTATCGATAATTTCCCTATTACAATGGGATATAAAAGAGACCTAAATTGTCTTGAAATTAATTTCTGCCCTATGACAATGTGGTGTAATAGAATCATGTCGAAATTATACACCATACTAGCCGAGTTTTATTCCAGTGGAAGTGTTGAAAATACGAAGTAAGATTGGATGAACCTCAGTTGCATTGTGAGGGTTACTCTTGACTACGTGGAAGGAAGTTAAGTATAAGTTATTACTCACATAATGAGACCTAAGGTGACTGCAAATCTGAATTAAGTTTTACTAGTAATATCGACAGATATTCACAATGCATATAAGCTTTAAGGTTGTTAGCAAACAAAATAATTGGTATTTTTGATTTTATAAGCAGGTATTCGAGACTACCAATAGATAAAATCTATTAGATGCATGCAAATAATTTCGTTTAAAATGATAAGGGGACTGTAAATTCAATTATCACTAAAGTTCACGGCTTTGCATTCACAAGAGGTTATCTATTCAAAGGTGGACTAAAAATTGGAATCCACATATATCTATCTCATCAGCAACGTCTGCTGAGTTAAAAATATGATCCCAAATTAAAGTATCGAAAAGAAAATAAATACACAAAAAGGATCATTATCAAAAACCCCAACAGTGAAAAAGCTAAACTATTCATTGAAAAGAGAAAAGATGAAATGAAATAAAATGAGAAGAGATGAGTTAATATCTGAAGGGATGAGATTAGAGAAGATTTAGGGCTCAGAGATGAGATAAGATTAGATAAGAGCAGATGAAATGAATTTAAAGGAGGGGATGATGAGAAGCCAATAGATGAGAAAAGATGAAATGGGATAAGTTGAAGAAAGTTAAGATTTGATGAGATGAAGTAATATCAGATGACTTATGAAGCGAAAAAATAAGTATTGTAGCCGATTGCAAAGATAACTTTACTTCATCGACGATCTCACGACAGAATGTGATATGAGAAGATGTATGGCCCTCCATTAAAATTTATATCCGACCTGTGACTAAACAGTACTCATGGAGGTGTAAAGTTTTTGGTAACGGGTCGAGTTTATCCGCTGCGTTCTCACGGTTCGAGTTCCGCCGGGGGTGCTGATAAGGCCTAGGCGAGGTCGAAAATGCAGACCACTCCTGCCTGGATGAGAATTACTTTTGGGAAGTAAGGCTGGGTAGAATGCAATGGAAGCATAAGTTCTACGTATCATAATATAAGAAATTTAGCCCCTAGTCCTTCATAATCTTAAACGAAATAGGG